CTGGTAGACCCCCCCTGGGAAAGCCTCCCTGAGTAAGGACCCAGGTGTAGACACAGAAGTTGGGGAGTAATGCTGAGAACAGAGCCTGTCCACTCCAAGGGGTGTCAGGAGGGGATCAATCAAGAGGTTGGAGATGGTAGCAATGCTAGGGCCAGAAGCAACAGAAGCAACCAGCCCTGAGTTCAGGCCACTTCATGTAGTCCAACCAGCAGAGTACTCTGGCGGTGGGGCTTGAAGCCATGGTACAGCAATTAAATATCCATTTGCCTGAGTTGAAAGCTCAAGCTCTTCTATTTTATTGGCCCTGTGAGCTTCAGCAAAGTAAACTCTCTCAACTTTTGCTTCCCCATCTGTACAATGGCGAAGATGATAGTATCTATTATTGTAATAATTCAATGAATGAATGCATGTCAGGAGCAATCTTGAGCAGATCAAATGTCCCCCAGCTTCCAGTTCTGTCATCTTAACATGGGGATGATAATCACAGTATATATTATTATGAGGTTTGAATTCATTCATTCATGCAGAAAATTAGGATAATCCCTGGCACATAGCAGGAGATCAATTAATTCATTCTTAGGCATACATTTATTGAGCACCTTCTATGTAAAAGGCACTCTTCTAAGCTGAGCTTAAGGACGTAGAGCTTACATACAAGTGGTTCCTTCACAGAAACTACTGTTATTATTATTCTAAAGGTATTCTTTTTGCATTTGTTCATATAGGTTTGTATATATACACAGGAAGTCAGAGAAAATCTCATTAATTAAATCTGAGTAGACTTCAAGGGCCACTCCTTCAACCGAGGACCAAACCATACAGATATCTAGGGTAAGAGCATTCTAGGCCAAAGGAACAGCAAATGCAAAGGAACAGCGAATGCAAAGGCCCAGAGGCAGGATCATGCCAGCATGGTCATGGAACAACAAGGAGTGTGTGCCTGGAGTGGGAGGAGCAGGGAGAATGGCAGGAGACAAAAGCAGAGCAGTAATGGGATGGGTCAGGAGGGCTTTGCAAGGCCCATGGCAAAGACTGCTGTAAGGACTCGGGCTTTTCCTCTGAATGGAATGGGGGCTCTGGGTAGGCTTTGAGTAAAAGAGTGGCATGGTCTGATTTTTGTTTAACAAGATCACTCTGGCTGTTCAGTTGAGAATAGATAGGTGTGGAAATGGAACGTGGCAGGGGGCCTGGGAGTTGGCTTCCCTGCACAGCTGTGAGCTGGGTGAGCTTTAATTCAAAGCCCCAGTGTCTTCTTCCCTGCCCAGCTCCAGGCTTCTCATGGAGGCAGGTCTGCAAATGGACAAGTACGCAGAGCCTAGAGCCATGAAGGGAGCAGCCAGAAGTGGGCCGACTCGCATCCATGAGGTGACATCTCAAGCCAGGGCTGGGCAATCACCATCACCTCTGAGACTGCAATGAATTGAAACACAGCCCGGTCCAGGGCCAACTGCTCACCCATTAAGTTAGGACTCCAAGAGACTTGGCCAGTTGATTGCGAAAAAGTTACTCTGTTTGGTTTTTGCTTGTTAGGATGTGGATTCATCTGTTGACTTGGGGCAGCAGCCTGCGGCTTGTGACGAGGACAGTAGGCAGGGCACGTGTCAGATGTTCTTTCCTAGGGAGGCAGCTTCTCCACCAAGGGGTGAAGCTGCAGGAGGCAGGCCATTTATGAGAAAAGGAATTGGCTCAGCGATGCCAGTGCCTGGCCCCACCATCAGCTTCCCTTTCCCTCCCCATGGGAAGTTAGGGGGCCCTCAGAAGGGCCCTGATTCACCCTGACTTGCCTATAAGTCTTCCATTCAGGGCCCTCCCTGCATGGGCAAATTTCAGACTCAGAGGTGGTCTCCCAGAGGCCTCATTACCACTGTCGAAAATACCGAATCAGGCATCAGCAGTGTCCCTCCCTCTGCCTCTGGGCTGAATTGCCTCTGGGAATCTTGTTGCTAAAATCCTGAAGTTCCCTTGTACCAGAGGCTTCTGTCCCCATTCTCCAATTCCTAATCCCATTCTGCCCTGTGGTAGGGGAGCTAGGATCCCCTAAATGTCTGCCCTCCAAGACACTGCCCAGGGACACCTGCTTGTGGGCCAGGAGACCACGGCCCGGCACCTTGGGTCCCCAAACTTGTGCGTCCCATTGCTGGCTGTTCTTAGAAGAGCCTCCACACACGGCCCTGCCCCCGCTTTCTTTTGTCCCCCCATGTGTTATAGCTGGTCTCCGCCAGTCCTGTTGCTGGGGAGCTTCCTGCTCCGACAGGTGGTCCCCTCCGCACCCCCAGCACTCAGTCAGCTTCTCTGGGCCTAAAGCATCAAGCTGTTTACAATACAGGATCAAGCACCCCGTTATCAGCAGTTCAGCTAAGTTGAAGATGCTTAGGTCCATGATCAGGGTGCTCTGTTCTCCAGAGACCCCTGGAGTCACCTTCCCTCCACCCACCCAGCTTCACCTGGAATGGAGCACCCCCATCAGGCCTAAGAAAGCCAACCCCCTGAAGCCCACAGACTCCCACCGTCCCCAGAGCTCAGCACCTAGGGCAAGCCTGGGGTCACCCCTACCCACGGCCATCGGCCCTTTGTCTGCTCTGGAGGGGGAAGGCAGGCAGGGACCACTTTACCTGACACACCAGGCACCTCAGATCCAGGGCTCACGCTTCTCCTGGGCACTGTGGCTCCAGGGGGCGCTGTGCTCCCGGGTCTTGTAGCGGCCCCTGCAGGGCTGGGGAGGAGGTGGTCCAAGCTGGAGCTCCTCCCCCCCACCCCCGCCCTCCACCCCGTGGTCCCTGGGTAGGAGGAGGGGCCGTGGGCAATCCTGCCCAGATATGGGGGAGGAGACCTTGCAGAGAATGCCTCCTCCTCACCACCCCAAGGAAACTCCCCAATTGTCCAGCTTTGGAGAAGAGGCTGCTTCTTGTGGGAAGCTCCACTCTGGGCAGTCAAGAGCTCCTAGAACAGCTTTAGGGAGCAGGAGACACACATATCACTAACCACGGCCCAGCCTAGCTCAGAGGAAGCCTTCAGGCCTCCTGAAGCTGCCACAAAGTCCCCTGCCGTGGAGAAAGTGACTCCCAGGGCCCATCTCCTCAAGCCCTGGCGACCTACGGAGCTTTGGCAGGGATTGTTCCTCATTCCATCCCGTCAGGGAGGCCAAGGACCCGAGAGCCTCCCTCTACCCCCCAGCCATCCCACCGCTCCCCAGGGACCTGGCCAGACCAGCTGGAGAGCAGGCAACTCTGCCATCCCAGGCAGGCATCTGGGGCAAAACCTCTGCTCAGGCAACTTGGCACAAAAGAACCCTTCATCATCAGCTCGACCAATCACAAAGAACAGACTTTATTGACATATTTGGCACTAAAACCCACACAGTTCCGGCCTCACAGCCAAGTACCGGGCGTCATACAGAACCAATAAGTTAACATAAAGGACGCTCACGTGTGTGTGTGGGGGGGTGCTTGGATGTCTCCTGGCTCGGCCTAGGGAGCTCTGGGTTCCCTGGAGGACACGGGGAAGGGAGATGGCTGTACACCAGTGAAATGGGCTTTGAGACAAAATGAAAAAGAACAGAATCCAAAGTAGGACATTCGAACATAATGGGGCCAGCGCCCACCCAAAGAGTGGGGGAGCTGCAGGATGTGATCTGAGTGCAGTCAAAGAAATGCAGGTGCTTGCCCTCAGGCTCTCCTCTCCTCCCCCAGATTGTTCTGACAGGCCACCTAAGTTCCTCCCTCGGCAACCTCGTGCAGTTGGCCACACTGCCTTCTGTCCAGTGGGGAGAACTGTGTTTTTTTGCGATCAGGCATCCAAGTTATTGGAGGTGCAAGCTGTTATTTATAATTTCTGTCCAAGTCCGGGGCACTCAGAGGGTAAAGGGTTCTGCATGGGCAGAATCAGAACTCAGCTCTCCCTCACGCCACCTCGCCTCCACTCTGTGCTTTCTCCTTGGAGCAGGAGATCTGAGGGCAAAAAGGCCCAAGGATGAGAACCCAGGGACCACGGGATAGTCTTAGCACACGCAGTTTCCAGGCCTGCTCAAGTCTTAGCACATGGGACAATTAATGAATGCCCTTAAGAGTGAGCATTCCCCATATCTGTAAAGATAAGGACTTGTCCACTTTCAGGGAAATCCAGTCTTAGAGCAGAAGCACAGCTGGGTGAGGAATAGCAGGGGCAGTGACCCCCCCCCACCCCCTCCTATGAGAATATGCCACAAACATGGTGCCTTTCCAAAAATATCCAGAAGGCATTGCTTTTTAGGACTATAATGAAAAGTGATAGAAGGAAGGGTGGGGTTTCCAGGCTTCACAATCCCAGAGAAGGTAATCAAAGTATGAGCTGCCCTCCCCCAAACACCACAGGCCAGCCCCCAGCCTGGGCCGCCTAATGCTACAATCTGGCAAAGCCTCAAATTCAAGGCTCAGAGGTCTGAGTAGATGTGGGAGCCCACAGGGCACACAGAACATATGGTGAGTGACTGGGGCCCCTATGGCGGGGGGGCTTATGGGGTGAGGAAAAGAGCAGGGTCCATCCAGGAAGACAATACTCCCCCAGGACGTATGCTCTTTAGCCTACCACTTCATGTGTGCATCACAGAGCACATTATCAAGGGGGAAGAAGATTCTCCCCCTGCCCAGACACCCCTACTGTACCCAGAGAGCTGGGAAATTGGGGGGCGGGGGGGCACACTAGTATTCCTCCAGCTGCAGTAAGACAGGAGCTGTTCTGTGGGGACATTCTCTGAGCCAGAGGGTAGAGTCTGTGAGGAATCCCGGTATGGCCCCCTCTGCCTCCCGCATCCCCTGCCGCTGTCAGTCAGACAGGCAAGGCCTCAAGTCCAATAGACCAAGCTGTGGGGAATAAAGGCATCATCATATTATAGGGATCCTGAGGACAAACCACAAATACAAATCCTAAGGCCCGGTTTCCGAAAAAAAAAAAAAATAATAATAAAAAATAAAAGGCTCAGCCCCGGCTCATCGACCTGCGATGGGGGTAAAGGAGCTGAAGAAGGCATTCAAGGGTGGGAGGGCTTGACTCCAGCCCTGCTGTGGAACAGTCTTTAATGGGAGCCGGGCCGAGGCACGTGGGGCACGCAGTGACATCTGGCCTTGGTTACACCTGGCTGACGATCTCGCCATTCTCAGGCACAAATACTTGCACAGGAGCCCCTTCGGGTGATCTCCGGGACACATACACTGTGGCCACCTGCCAGGGTCAGGAAGAAAGGAGAGATTTGTGAGCAAACCAGGTAGAAACGTCCAGGCAACAAATGCAGGCACACCCTCCCTGTCCCTGCGGACGCTGATTGGCAGCAACACGGGCCCAGCCGCTCCACCCCTGCCCGCCCCTGCCTGCCCCTCCCCCCAACCCCAGGAGTTTCAGTGTGATCACCCTTTATCTATTTTCCACTCCAGGGGTGTGACAGGCACCCTGACCTCCTCCTCCCCGCCCTTCCTGGGCCCCCTTCTTGTCATCCTCCCTGTTGGACAGGTTGCGATGGGCCGGGCCTGGGCTGAGGGCAGGTCCAAGCCGGCAGGAAGGGAAAAGCAAAAGCACGTCCGCTGGAGGGTGCGGCCTGGGACGGGGGCCAGGATGCCAGCTGCAGCCCAGAGAGCTGGTGGGTGGGGGAGGGACGTGCAGCTGGGCCTGCTAGGAATCGTGGGTCTCAAAGAAGCAGCCTGTTGGTAACCTCTGGAGCACACCCTATGCAGAGCCCTCCGTACCAGGGAGAAAGAAGACAGGACTCCTGTGTTACCCCCACTTCCAGAATAGAGAAACTGGGCCACTGAATCCAGAGTGGACACCCTTACCTCATGTCATAGTGCTCTGTCATACCAAGCTGGTCCCTGGCCAATAGTAATACCACTTACTAGTGCTTACTATACACGATTCTCATCATCTTACACATAATAACTCATTTAAAGGTCATGGCCGTCTGAGATAGACAGTTGGCCAATGATTATCACTTCCCTTGGCAGGGCTGAGATTTGAACCCCCCTAGCCTAACCATCAGCCACCGTGCTTCTCAGCCTGGAGGTGTGGAGGGCTGTCAGAGGAAGTTGACCCACAGGCAGTCACAGGTCCTGGCTTCTGCAAACACGTTTTCAGACTCCCTTTGTCCTGAGCCTTCAGGTCAGGAAATTTGGGGGTAAATTCGGATGGGACCTCCGATTATGAATAGAGGCGTATCTGCTTTGCGGATCATCTAAGGGGCCATTAAGGAAAAACGACTCCGCTCTCTTCCAGGATTTCCTCCACCAGCGTAGTATGTGGGTATGAGCTCTTGAGCCAGAGGCAAAATTAGGAGGTGCCCCAGGGGAGTCCCGAGGGCCTTCCAAAGCCCGGGGAGGGCGGTGGGGACAGTTCTGTCTGGCCGTCCCCGCTGGGGATCGCGCGGCCACCACCCTGTGGGCATACCGCCTCTCTGCTCGGGACCCGCTAGAATTGCAGCCCTTCCCCCAGCTGAAAGCGCCCCCCCCCCCCCCGGGAGCCGCCGTACCTGTGTCCGGGGACCTGAGGCTCGGCCAAAGCCCTCTCTGCTGGGGGGCAGGCTCCGGACGCGGAAGGCCCCCTGGCGGTCCAGCGAGTGCGGGCGGCCGCTCCGGAGGCGCGCCCGCTCGTGCCACGACTTGAGCTCCTCGGAGACGGTCGCCTTGCTGAGCGCGCGGCCCGCGGGGCTGTCCTTCAGGGAGGGCGTCCGCACCACGCGGCTGCGGGAGGCCACCAGGCGCTGCCAGCGCAGCTGCGCCCCGTCCTCGTCGTAGGCGGGGCCCAGGGCGGCGCGGCCCAGCTCCCACTCGGCCGCCGGCGGCAGGGGGCTCTCGGCCACCAGCACGTAGCGCCCGGCCGGCAAATGCCCAGGCGGCAGCAGCAGCTTGGGGTAGAGCACGCCGGCCGGGCCCCAGGCCCCGCGGTGGCGAGGCGGCTCGGGCGGGGACAGCGGCCGCAGGAAGGAGATGTCGGGGCTGCTGCTGCCCGGCGACGTGGGGTGCGAGATGCTGGAGACGTCGGAGCCGCTGTCCTCCGAGCAGGAGTGGTAGGCGGGGTGCGGCCTCGGGGGCTTGGTCGGGGGGAAGCAGGAGTCGGGCACGGTCACCGTGTAGTGAGGGGGACGGCGGCGGGGGAAGGCGCTGCGACCTCGGCCCTCGGGACCGGCCCGGAAGGAATCCGTCCTAGGGGAGGAAGGGGAGACGCGCTGAGGCTGGGAGGCTGGGAGGCCCAGGCTCTTCCCTTGGGCCCCGGGGGGTAAGATAAACCGGTGAGGCCGCGGCCCTGCCTCAGCAGAGGAGCCATGGCTCCCAGGCCCGGGGTCTTGCGTCAAACCTCCCCAATATAAAGACCCAGACATCCTCCTGGCGCCCTCCTGCGCCATGCACCGTATCCCTCCCACTGCATTCACACTTCTGCGGTTTGTGGCAAGGATGCCCCAGCCATATCCCCTCTTTTCAGCCACTTGAGGGACCCTGTGTCCAGCGGCATGACACCCCCGGAATCGGTGCAGGTAGACATGGTCGGGTATCTAAGCTGGACCTGTAAAGCTGGGTGTGGCACAGACCATGTGAAGGAAGTAGATGGCCAGCCATCCACAAGCCAAGGAGAGAAGCCTTAGAAGAAACCAACCCTACCCTGATCTTGGACTTCGGGCCTCCAGAACTGTGAGACAGACAGTAAAATTCTGTCATTTAAGCCACCCACTCTGGGGTATTTTGTTATAGCCGTGCCACCAAACTAATATAAGGTAGCCTCCTGCAAGGTGCCCCTTCATAAGGGCAGCCGCCCAGGACCCACAGGGGCTGAAATCCAGCCCTCCCTGTTAATATGGTGGGGCTGTGTCTGCCCAGAGGGGGGCGCCTTTTACCCATCTGCACAAAGGAACTGTTTGTAAACTAGCCCCCGGAGACTGTAAAATATAAGATTCATTGCTTGCCTTGACAGCAGTTGTCCCAAGCTGCACCCCTTTCCGCGCTGCCTGATGAGCCCATTTAAGCCGACAGAAGAACCCAGCAATCGTGTCCAGGGCTTTCGTGTGGTGTAGCTAACGCTGCCTGGCCTAGCTGTCCCTGAGACTCTCACCAAGAATATTGGTAAAACACTTGGCAACAACATCCAGCTGATTCTCATTATTTGTGGATTCTGTCTTTGCAAAATCTCCCACAGCGAAAATGTATCTGTAACCTCAAATCAACACTCACAACACTTGTGGTCATTTGTGGACTTGAACAGAATGGTGAAAACTTGGAGGTGCCCACGAGGCACAGTCTCAGCCAAGACGGAACGAGGCAGGGCTCTGACTCGTATAAATATGATAAATGAGTATCCTCTCCACAGTCGATTTAGTGTCCCGTGTTTCGTATTTCTGTGCTTTTTCTTGGTGACCTCACTATTTAAAACGGCCCCAAAGCATAGTACTAAAGTGCTGTCTGGTGTTCCAAAGTGCGGGAAGGCTCTGGATGTGCCTTTTATAGAATATATGTATTTGATGAGCTTTATTTGGGCATCACCTAGAGTGCTATTGGCCAGGAATTCAATGTTAATGAGTCAATCATATATATTAAATAAGGTGTCTTTAAACAGAAACACGCATAAAACAAAGTTGTGTATTGATCAGTTGACAAAAATGTTGTGACCAGAAGCCTAACCCAGTATTTTCCCTCGGAGCAGTAATTCAGTATTGCTAATTCAGTGTTTGCAGTGACTTTATCGGACATAAAACTACCGCAAATAATGCGAATTGACTGCACATCAATTAAGAAAGTGAATCATCCGCTGCTAGTGACCAATAATAAAATAATCTTAAGCAATTGCAAAAGTATCTACCAAGTTCCATATTCTCTTGCCATAAGAGAATATGGCTAAGGGGAGAAAACATGAATTGCATTGTGCAGAAAACAGCTTGCTTCACGGCCTCTATTGAGAGGTGCCCCAAGAAGGGCCACAGCACTAGCCACGTGTCACCCACAGTCCCACCTATATCCTAGAAGCCACCACCCTCCAAATGTAAGCTCTCAATAGTGGGTCCCTGCCCCCTGCATCTCTGGGGTGACCTCTTACCTCAGAGACTGTGACTGGCCCCTCCTCCCCTGCATCTCAGGGGTGGCTGGAGCGCTGGTGCGGCCCTGCCGCTGGCCAGGAATGCTGCGGATGGGCACCACATGGTAGGCAGGCTCCAGCAGCCAGAGGCTGGAGGTACCGGGCCCATCCTGTGGCGTGGTGGCTGGGCTGCTGCAAAAGGATTAGAGACAGGTCAGTGGCAAGAATGGCTCCATTGAGGGGCTTGAGTTGTGCAGAGGAAGGGGGCACAGTGGAAGGGGACCCCAAAACTCACACCTCCCACCATCACAGTTAAGGAGAGGGGCAGTCTCCCATGCCTTACCCTGCTCGTACCACTTCCCTCACCCCCCCCCCCCCCCGCCCCCTGGCTTCCCCCCCATCCTGACCTGGACTCGCTATTGGGTTCGAGAGACTTCCTGGGCTTCTCATAGGGGTGGTCCAGGCTGGTCTCCTTCCAGGGGCTGTTCTGGATTGGGGCCCGCTCCAGGCCCCCAGTCTCAGGTCCTGCTGGCTGCAAGCCTTCGAGGCTCTGGGGTGGCAGAGGCCGGGAAGGTGGAGCTGGGGACTCCGGGGGAGGTTTTGGCACCTGGGATTCCTCTGCAGGGGTGAAAGAGCCTGCTGAAGGCAGTGGCTGGAAAATTGGCCCAAGAACCTCCTTGGCCCATGCCTTGCTCTCCCTCCCATGGATGCTTGTCTGGCTGCTCCACGCTGTGGCTCCAGGCCCAGACGCTCGAAGGTGTTTTCTTCTCCTTTGGGACTTCCTCCCCCACAGCTGTTTTACACCTGCCTCCCTCAAGAAGCCTCCCCAGATTGACTCTCCTTAGCTCACAGTATTCCACCTTCTAACCTTGGCTCCTACTACCATATCTGCAGCTAACTTTCTGCTTACCGATTTTTCTGGTTCATGCCGTGCCCATGTGTGCTATTCCCTTATTGACCTGGGCACTCCCTTAGGCAGGACTGTGCTACCCTCTTGGTCCACCTTGACCCGTAGCATCCTTAGGGTTTACAAACAGGGTTTTTAATCTATTGAGTGTGTTTCCGTCCCCAGTGCTACCCTCTATTCAAAAAGGGCAATGATTGTGGCCAGATGGCTCTTAGGGTCTGACAAGTGCATACTGAAATAATGTCCCAGGGCTCTGTTAGAATTCACTTTTTCCTTCCCTGTGAAAATGATCGAACTTCTAGATTGGGAAGGGGTCAGCACATTCCCCCCCCGGCTCAAACGAACATGCATGGGGGCACAGAGAAATTAGCATCCAGTAAGAGCAGAGACCCTGAGCCCAACCTGACACCCCTGCCAAAGCCCTCCATCTTCCAGTAGGAGCCCAGCCCTGACAACAGTCCCTAAACTACCCCTTCTCACCTTCCTCCAGGAGCAGCCCATCTGATAGAGAGCTGTCATCTGAGGCACTGAGCTCTGGGAAAGTCAAAGGGGAGAGAAGGAGGTGAGGAAATCAACCCATTCATCTGGGTTAACCAGCAGTATGACCCCACCCCTTCCTGAGAACATCCCTTATCAGGAAATACCAACTGTGTACTAAATACTATATTGGATATGAATTTATCACTTGGAAGTAGAAAAAAATTAGAAATCAGGAATGAGAAGATAGGAAACCTGATTTTAATCCTGGCTCTGCCATTAGCTATTCAATTTCAATGCTCTGGGCCTCAGCTTCCCCATCTGTCAAAAAAGCTGGGGCCTCCCCTGGCAGGGTTTCCTGGCAGTGGAAGGGAAAGGCAAAGTGTCCTTTTGGAAGGCGCTTGGGATGAAAATTATTTTCCTAACTTTTCTAGTCTTCTGAGATCATAAATACAACTCAAGGACCCCGTATCTGAGAAGTCCTGCATTACCAGCACCAGGAGCAGTGCAAAGTGGGAATCTGAGCTGTGGGGTTGTGGGATCAATTCACATTGGTCTGGCTGCATATGGAAGGTTCTTCAATTGGTGATGTGGCAGGTCACCTGAAGGAAATGACAGTACGACATTTCTGCATGGTAGAGAAGCAGCTGTGACCCAAGAAATCTGAGGGAACTCCTATTTGCCATTGCCCTTGAACAAGCTGAAACTTCAGACCTTGAGAATACTCCTACTGTGACCTGGATGGAATTCACCAAGTATTTTCAACCGTGTTTGATAACAATGATGAGGGGACATTAACAATAGCCAAAATTTCTATTGTGCCAATACTTTTCTAAGTACTTCACATATATTAATTCATGTGATCATCATAACCACCATGTAAGGTAAATACTATTATCATGTAACAGCTAAAAAAAAAAACCGAGGCTTGGAGGAATTGAGGAACGTGGCTTAGGTCAATCCACCAAAAGGTGACTGAGTCAGAATTCATACCCAGACAGTCTGACCAGAGTCTGGCTCGGCACCACTACCATTTATCGGCTCTCCTGTTAGCTGGCATCTAATGCATAAGTCATTATCCAGAACGTTCTAAGAAAAGTAGATAATTCCAGCCATCTTGAACTCCTTTATAACAAAGGACTGGCAAACTGGGGGGTCCTTGGGCCAAATCCAGTTAACTGTTTTTATAAATAAAGTTTTACTGAAACACCGCTACAGATTTGTTTATGTAATGTCTGGCTGCTTTTGAGCCACAATTGGCAGAGTTCAGTGGTTGTGACAGAGACTTTATAGCCCATGAAGCCCATAAAATATTTACTCTCTAAGCCTCTACAGAAGTTTGTCAACTTTGCTCCACAACTTAAATGAAATAAAAACTCTACCCGGAGTAGTTCCTAAACCCTGTGCGGCATACTGCCCAAGGAGCTGGGCCGACGCCCAAGTAGCCAGCTATCCCATGTTGTGCTTGGCTCATACTAGCCTTTGCTTTGGGGTTCAAATGAGGAGACACCCTTTCATCGAATTCTGGTTCTCTGCCTCTGATCTTTTACAAAACCCTGGAGAATGAAGAGTTTTATTTTTCACTGATGTCAAGTTGAAGAAATTGTGGGACTGTTACTTTCATGGCCCAGCGATGCAGCCGGGGTTAGAGCGTGTGTTTTGGTTTGACTGTATGGTCTGGGAAGAAAGACATCATGTCCCATCATCCCTAATCTTCATAAAAACAAGCAGATCATTGGCCAGCTTCATTAGCCCAAAAAAGTGCACTACAAAGAGGGTAATCTGGAGACCCATTGCCTTTGTAGAGGTAAGGCCACGGGTGGAGAATATCTATCTACAGCCAAACGCAAGCCGTTCCTGAAGGCTGCGCCCTGTCTCAGCCACACTGCCCCAACCCAGCCCTGCATCAGCCTCGTCCTGCCCTCAGTCCAGCAGTGGCCACGGGACTCCCCAGGTAGGAAGGTGACTATAGAGATCATACCCACAAAGTGAGCATTCTCAAAGGCTGCACTGTTCAACAGGTTGCCACTAGCATGGGGTTATGTTAATTAAAATGAAATAAAATTAAAAATTCAGGTCCTCGGTCACACCAGCATATTTCAAACGCTCAGGGGCCCCTCTAGTGGCTACCATATTGGACAGCACAGATACAGAACATTTCCATCATCACAGAAATTCTAATAGACATCCCTGCTTAAGGCAGGTGTTGTCAGTCAGCAAACACATTCTGAGCACCTACTACAATTACAGGTGTGTGTCGTGGGGAATTTCTCAAGTTCACTGTGGTAAATTAATGTAACACCTGACTGCTCCCCGCCACTTGCAGGGTACTAACTAATTACTCCCACCTGGCATGAGTAGTAATTATCCTAAACTGAATAGTAGCCCTGGCTACTGCCACTGAGTAGACCCTAGCAATAAGCTCGAAGTCAGCCTGGGGAGCACCTTCCTGCCCAGAAGGCCTTCGTGAGGGCGGTGGATTTTGAGGAGGATGAGGAAGGAATGGGATGCTTTCTAAGGAGATGGGGGAGAGGGTCTCACGGACGGAGAAGCCCTTTGCCACGGCGCGTTGTGGCTGCAGAGGGTCAGGAGGGGGTAGAGGGGGACCGAGGAAGCAGGTTTCCAGCAAAAGCCAATTTGGGACATTAAACACAGTGCTGGGCGCAAAGGCAACTGCAGTGGCCCTGGGCCACACCACCTGCCATCCCACGTAAGCTCACGCAGGGCCCAGGGAGGGACTGGGGGCAGCCGGCTCACCTCGGCCCAGGGGCAGGGCAGCGGTGGAAGGGGGCCCGCTGGTGCGCCGCTGCTCGCCCAGGCAGCGCTCCAGCTCCCTCAGCTTCTTCTCCTCCTGCAGCATGGCCTGCTTGCGCTGCCGCCGGGCCTGCCTGCCGAGGTTCTCCTCCCGGCACAGGCGCCGGGCTGCCTCCGCGATCTGCAGCTGCAGGGCCAGCTCCCGCTCCAGGCTGCTCAGGGGGTCCTGGGGGGAAGAGGCCGGGGGCTCACTCAGGGAGGGCAGGTGGCCACGTGGGGACACAGAAAACGGCCCTGACCCCGTGCCCTGGATCCTGACCCTAAGCCCGGGAAGCAGACAGCAGCGGCCACGGCCAGGAGGCAGAGGGTGGAGCGGTGGCAGGTGCTTGAGAGCAAACCTGCCGGCCTGACGAGCGGGCAGGGGGACCCACCCACCCGCCTGCCGCCTGAGCCAGGCAGAGTGCGAACCAAAGTGGGACACTTGCCCTCCTGACCCCAAGGGTTGGTCAGGCAAGCCCAGGGGAAACTTGCTGCCTTTCACACCACAGGGAAGGGACCCTAGGGCCCGAGCCGCCCCGCTGCCTGCCCCCCACAATGAGGAGGACAGCCCTAGGGACCAGAATAACCTGTTTAAACAGGCCATTGCCTCTCTGGGCTGGCAGTTGAGCTCCTTCCTCACTGATCTTCTGCCTACCAGCGACCAGACCCAGTGTCCTCTCGAGTTCCCAGCTCTCCCGGTCCCTGTGGTGGCACACCTTCCCCACGGCCATTTGGGCTACAGGTTAATGGGTGCCCCTCATCAACACGGAGCCAAGCACCCTGAGCGGGTGTGATGGGGTAGAGAGTGCCAAGTACCGGGTGAGGGCACCTCCAGATGGCGAGGCCTTGGCTCGGTGATCAACACTTGCAGGGGGCGGGGGGAGGCGGTGGTGGAGACGGCCTGCACAAGTTCCTCACCTCTCTGCGCAAGGCCCGCTCGTCCAGTTTGTAAGCGGCTCCAATCCTGCGGCGGACCTTGGGGGCCTTTTCCCCTGGTTTGAGGGGATACTCTGCTGGCAAGACACCCGTCAGCTCCTGTGGTGGAAGCGAAGTCAGCCAGGCCCCTCTCCACCTGCCCGGCCCTTGGCCAAGCAGGAGTAGCCAATCCCCCTGGCTCTGCACGCCTGTGCCTGCCCTTCCCCAGAGGCCCCTGCCCACTCCTCACCTCACACCATCACCAGGGGCGGTCTCACTGGCCTCTTCAGGGCACCCCCTACCTTCCCTCCTCTTTTCCTTCACCCTTCAGATCTCACCTCCTTCAGAGCTCTGCTCTGGCCCTGGTCACAGTCCCACCCGCACCTCTGTCTCCTCCCTCTCCAGCCCCTCCGTCCTTCCCTCCCTGTGCCTGGGGCCCCACCGGGGCTATCCCTTCTCTCGCTGAGGCATCCGGCGCCCGGGTCAAATGCCGCACACACAGGGACGCCAGGCACCACACCCCCGTCTGATTTCCAGAATTCTCTCACAAACGGGGTTCCCTTCCCTCAGCTCCAACATCCCCAACATCCCCAGATGTGGCTCAGATTAACCCCAAGCTTGTTGGGGGGCTGGAGGGGGGCGGCTGAGGCTCTCACCGCCTCCCTGAGGCAGAGTCTCTTCAGCTCCTCCAGGCACGCCTCCAGCCGCTCTTCCAGGGCCCTCTGCTGTTTGCGCACGGCGTGGGTCAGCTCCTTCACAGGGGAGACTGGGCTGTCGGGGCCTAGGGGGCGGCAGGGCACCGGCTCAGGGAAGCCGAGGTGGGGGAGACCCTCTCAGACACTTGTTAACTATCCCCGGGGTTGTGGGGGGGAATGTGCTTACATGTGCACCCGCGTGCGCGCGCGCACACACGCGCACACACACACACGCACACACACACACACACACGCACACACACAGAGCCTCATCGCTGCCCACAGATTACAGGTCAGCAGCTGTGGCCTGTGTCATAACCGCAAACACCACATCTCCTGGCTGTCTGAGGTGGCAACATGACAGTTCACAGGGAAGGGCCGCCACCCCCCAGGCGATGTGCAGTGGCGGGAGGGCTACCGGTCAGAGCTCTGTTGTTTCCCTTCCCACCCTCCACCCATACAATTCACTTCTGCCTCCACCACTTCTCCCTCCTTCTCCTCTCTCCCTCTCTCTTTCTCTTTCATTCACATATGTGCTTCTTCTTTCTTCTCTTCTGTCAGGACGAGACCAGACTAGGCCCACAGACTCAGGCCAACCAGAGAGACAGGACCTTTCCAGTAGCCAGATGAGATTTTTCTACTTCTTCGTAATCACTAGGGCCGGAGTCGCAGAGACCTGTTCCAGATAGGATCAGACCTCCAGGCCAGACCATCCAGGAAAACTGCAGCCCCTCCAGTATCTAGCCCCCAGCAGAGGCCTCTCCCACCCCTCCCACCTTCCCCTGCTCAGCTTCCAGCCACTCAGCCAGGCCAGCCCTGGAGTCTGGGGCCTTGGAGAGTCAGAGCTGGGGGCCCACAGGGCGGGATTCCCCAAAGCACTCACCAGACTGCAGGATGATGCCGCTGTCGGTGTCGCTGACCTCATCCTTACTCTCCATGGTGGATTTCTGGGAGGAGGGGGCACAGAGTAGGGAGGGGTGACGCCGTTCCCAACCTGAGCCAGGATGTGGCGGTGGCCTGCAGGTTCCCCAGCTTTTAAGAGAACAATAAAACCAGCGGTAGGTGAAATCCCTTGGTTCCACACAGAGCTTAAGTAAGGATCCGATGTTTGAGGACAGGGTGAGAGGAAGTGAGGCGGGGTTTCTGGGACAGTCTGGGGCAGGGGATTTCTCAGTGCTGGGGGTGCCACAGAGAAGGCTCTGGGGGCCTCACCAGCAAACCTGTACTCAGGGGGCTCTCTGGGCCCACCCTAGCCTCCTGCTGCCTCCTTCTGCGTGGCCACAGAGACCCCTGAGACTGGGGAGAAGGATGAGGAAAAAAGCAAGGATGAGGAGGAAGAGGAAAAGCGTACTAAGGATGGGTGGGGGAAAGGGAAGCAGAAGGGAAGACGTCTTCCTGGGCACAACCATCCCCATGGGGCTGACTATGCTCAGCCCAAGAACCCAGGAGGCATGAGGCCTGTCCCACTGCCCCAGTGGGTGACAGACCAGCCCTGGATACTGTGGGTGGGCACCGGGTACTCGGCCAAGCCCCTGCTCCAGGGCCTTCAAAGCCCAGGCTGCCCTGCCCTCTGGGCCAGGGTATTCATCCAAAGGCAGGTGCAGGTGCCAGAGAGCTGTCCCCAAATCCCTGAAATAATTCCCAAGCCACTGCGTCTAGGAGACCCCTCAAGGAGGTGTTGGCCAAGATCCCCTATACCCCACAGCCAGGGGAGACCCAGTGTGTGCGTGTGTCAGGGTCCCGGGTGGGGTGGGAGTTGTGACTAGAGCGGAAGCTGCCCGAGGACAAGGAGGAGCCGAGACCACCCACTCCTCTGCCTCCCTGGGGCTTGAGTGCACTGGGTGGCACAGGTACAATCTCAGTGTGTGTCAGCCCAGCTGGGCTCCAGTGGCCAAAACAACACCTGCCGCTCGCCCCCTCGCTCCCACCGAGCGCACACCCCTGCTCAGGGTCCCAAGCTGGCCAGGGCCTGGCAGCTGTTGGCTGGAGCAGAGGTGGGGAGGGGCGGGTGGAGCCCAGGCAGGCGATCTGGAAGGAGAGCGCAGCCACCTCCTCACTGAGTCAGCTCATTGAGCAACAGTCCAAAAGTCCTTCGGAGTTTCTGTCTGGAGCTTATCCTGCCTCCCTACGGCACAGGGCCATAGGGTGGAGGAGGTGGGCTCCACCCCTCCACCATCAGCCAACGGCCAGGAAAGCAGGCCTTGGGAAAGTTGAGCACAAAGCAAGGCGAGGAGAGAGAGGACTACTGGCAGCCCGGTCCCCAGGAGGACCTCTGCCTCTCAAGACTGGAAGAGCAGGAGCGATGGAGCGCTTTTATAGACCTCCATAAACCACACAGCCCATCAGAGTACCATGAGCAACAACAATAAAAACATAGCACTGAAAACAATCTGTACCTGCACTTTGGAATTTCAGTTCTCCAGGAAAGTCTAGAGAATGGATGGTAGGAAAAAAAAAAAAAAAAGAAAAGAAAAAAGAAAATTTATGTGGGGCCTTTGCAAACATGCCAAAGACAGAGCCTAGCCCAGGTTCTGGAAACCCAGAACAGGACACTTAGTGGAGAGCTACCTATGCATGGCCCATCCCTCCCGAACCTTCATCCCTCTAGAGATGAGAGCAGGCCCAAGGGGCAGGCAGCTCACCCGGCTCCCCCCGCCCCCACCACCACCACAGGCAGCCTCTAAGCCTCCCCAGCAGCCAGGGGCAGGGCTCAGCCGGAGCTAAGGAAGCAAGGCCCTCTCAGCTCGCATGGTGAGCGCATTTTGCTTGGGACAAGGAGGAGGTAATGTGGGAGTGAAGCCATTAATTAGTCACACTTGCTAATTAATTATTAACCACGAAGGAGTTGCCTTGGGAAGTTGTGATAACTCAGCCCTGCTTCCCTCTTTGACTATTGCAGAGCATAGGGTCAGAGGGGTGGGTGTGAGAGGAGAGCCCCCCCACGCCGGCACACCCCCTCTCCTCCAGCATTCACTGCCAGGGTCAAGGGGTTGGCTCTGGCATTCACAATGGCCCCAATCTGATGCTGGGCACACTCAGGGCTAACTTGTGGCTCCAAGTAGAGCAAAGAGCACAGGACCTGAAGTTGGGAGATTCAAGTCCTAGTTCAGCCACTGCCCATGCTGCCCTGAGAGAGTTGCCTGGCCTGGCTGGGCCTTCTTCCCGCGTAGGCACAAAGATTAGACACTGTCTAGGGAAGTCCCTTTCCGGCTCCCCGCTCTGAATCTGGACCCCCTCGACAATGTCAGGCTGGGCAGGAACCCCACACGGCCGTGTAGCCGTCACCCTCCTCCCTGCCTAGCTCCCGCCTCCACCAAGAGGACAGAAGTCTCTGGAGCCTGATGTCTCAGGCATTGCTTTCTGATAAAGGCAGTTTGGGGCACATGCCCAACCCCTTTCCGACACAGGAACCCCTCCCCGCCCTCCACACCCTCAGCCCCTCCGCGGCAAGCCCCAGTCCTGGGTCCTAGGAAGCGGTCCGCCTGACTGAACAAGGTCCCCAAGAAAAGGCAGAGGAGGAAAGAAGAGGCAAAGAGGGAGGAAGGGAAACACTAGTGCAGCATCCCTCAGGCTGAGCCACTGAGGAGCCCCCCATCACAAATGCACCCCCAAAGCCAGCTCCTAGGCCTCTCCCCTTCTCCTGTACAGACTGAGGCCTGAGAACTACAGGAAAAGCACAGCAAGGGGCTCCTCATCTGGGCCCACCAGCAACCCCCCCATCATCCCGTGCCCGAGACACAAGGAGGAAGGCGGGGGGTGCCAGCTACTACAGGGGCTCCCCCCGCCACCACTGGGGCCAGCCTGCCCCTCAGCCCCAAAGACCTGCTCCACCCTGCCCTGCCCTCACCTGCTTCTGGGGTTCAGGCCAGGATTCCGGAAACACCCGCTGTTCCCAGGTCAGGGGGCTGAGGGGTGTCGCATGCCGCCTCAGGGTGTCCCAGGCCACAGGCCAGCCTCCAGTGCTCCCTCTCTGACCTGGCTCCCGCTCTCTACTCGCTGCCGATGGCCTCCCCTCCCTGCCGATGGCCTCCCCTCCCTGTGGACGGTCCCGCCTGCCGGCCTCCTAGGCCGCCTGCCGGGCCAGGGGAACCAGGTGACTTGTTAGGACTTGAGTCAGAGGGGAGGAGCAGGTGAGCAAGTCCTTCCCTGAACTAATCCTGCTGAGGCTGTTGCCAGCAGGCAGCTCTGGGGCCTCTGCACTTCCCGGGGCGGGGAGGGGGTGGGGAATAGGGAGAAAGGGGCTCCCCATGGAGGAACCCCAAAGAAGGCAACAGGGGTCACGTCTTCATGGCCTCAAGGGACTCTAATGCAACACGGTGGGCGGTTGGGTGCACAATTGCCCTCCGGACCCTCCGTTTCCCCTTCCAGAAATCAAGGCCTGCAAGACCCCCAGAAGTAGGGTGAAGGTCCACTGTCCATGGGGATACCAGCAAGAAATTGACAAGTGACAAAGAATAGGTCATTGCTCTTTCCATGCACTGAAACAGAAACTAAGGCCTGAGTTTTGTCTCTCCCAAATCAGGTTTAAAAAAGCTTCAGGCAAGGCAGTAGCTATGGAACTCCAGACGGGAAGGCTCTAGGGTCCTAAAGAGAGCAAGGGTGTTCTCTCTTTCCTTCCTAGACATGTCCCCCCAGGATCATCCAGGCCTATTTATTACTTACATCCATCCCTCAGTAGGGTCCGTGGAGCACTAAGCTGAACACCATTCACTGTCCCCTGCTCCACAGGAGAGCCACTGTGACACTAGCATCTAACCCCGCTCCCCAAACATGAGGGATCAGATACCAAAATGGAACCTGTTCTCTACAGAAAATAAACCTCCAGGTCTCCCACTCCATCAATCCTCAAGCAAATCAAAAACTGTTCACAACTTAGCCCATTTCACTGGGAGAAGCTAGGGCTGAGGCCACCTGTTGCTACACCATGGACAACATGGAGACATACTGTAAATTAAGGACGACACCCCTCAGCGTTTCATCCCACCACCTCCCTTTCTCCCACTCTCTGATACTCCCACTGTGCCCCTTAATCCTGGGGTATTGGCACCTCAACATCTCTCTGGATTGCTTCCCTCCTCCAGCCCCATACCTCCATCCCCACCTCCTAACCCCATCCCCTTCCCCATTCCCCAGGGCCCGGATGATGGTAGAAGTCTGCTCCACCAAGCATCTCCTGCAGAGCTGAGCTGTGTCTATGACTCTGTCCCCAGAGGCCATACACACATACCCCGCTCACCTTCAAATTCCTATACACACCCTCTTTCCCAACAATGCCAGCCCCAGAGTCCGCCAGGCTGACCACCTCCTTCTCTCTCCAGGCTGAGGCTGAGGGGCCCCAACAGGGGGCAGACTCCTCCTGTGATGTGGAGCCAGCTTTCCGGCTGGTCTCCCAAAAGAGCCTGCAGTCCTCCCCTCCCCCTAGTCCTCCCCATCCCCCAAGAGGCTTATCACATTCTTTCAATGACAAACAGAGAGAGATTGACTCAGTGTAATTGGTCCCCTTCCTCCACCTTGCCCACCCCCCAGCTCCAGGTAGGGGTTGATGGAAGTTTCTAGAACCAGCTGATAGCATGTATTTTAATGCACAAAATGAAATTAAGAGAACCAATTATACTGAAATACAGTTCTAAAAACAGAAAACATGGTAATATATATGCTTCTTTATTAACATTAAACAGGGTCCAGCAGTGAGTTAATTTCATAGAAGTGATGAATGTGAACAATACTTCAAGCCAGTTACAACTGCAGTGTAATGTAAAACTATCTGTGAATTCTATTAATGGCAAAGTCACAGGTACTGCCTATGGTTTCTTGCCTTCTTAACTGAAGGCAATGCTAAATTTTTGTTAAAGGTTGGTGTGAAATGAAAATATTTTTTTCCCATCTAAGTTCACAAACCCTCTGAATTCTATCCACAGAGGCTTTGGTGCCCAGGACCCAGTCAAGAACCCCACCATCAGGGAACCCCCCATCTCTGAGCTCAGAGAGAAACACAGATAATCCACTCACTGCATTGATCCCCTGGAACTCTCAAAAACCCCTTCTTCCCTCAAGTTCACATGCAGCATTTCCTGACCAGCAGAACGTGAGGTTTGGGATGGGACTAGCAAACTCTCCCAAGAACCCCAGATCCAATGGGTTGGATCTCACTGTCTGCCAGGTCTGTCAACTCAAAATACCAAAAGGGAGGTGGGTACCCCAGAAACTGGCTGGGAACTTTGGGGTTCAGTGCCTCCCTCCCAGCGAGCCTAGAGGATCCGGGGACTGATCAATGCCTTGTCCCAAACCCCAGAGCATCAACACCAAGACCACCACTTGGTGGTGGAGGAAGTGGTTTTCTTGAACGGAGTCAGAGTACTTGATATCTGATCGTTGAAAGGAGAAAAACTGCATCTCTTTCCGGTTTTCACTTCCCAAGCACAAGCCCCAAATCAGGAAACTTCCACATTCCCTAGCCATCCACTCCAACACTTTTTTTTTAAAGTCCCTTCTTTAAGTTTCTTCTACTACGTGAGACTGGAAGTTGTTTAAAGCAAGGGCCTCATCCTACCATCCTCACATTGCCACCAGCACCCAGCCAAGGACGTCTCAGGCACTCCTAAAACCCCCCTCAATGAATTAACAAAGCAATGGGCAGCGGCCGGAGTCAACGGAGCAGAAAGAAGCCAAGTAGCCCGGGACCCTCTAGGCGAAAGCGGGTGGGAGAGGGCTCCTGAACTGTTTCCTTTCTCCACTCTTGTCTCTTCCCACTGGGAAAGGTGTTCGCCTCCAGCAGGCGATGGTGGAGTGGGCTAGGACAGGAGAACTCCACTCCAGCCTGGAATGCGCCCTGAAACCAGACCTCTAGGCTTTCCTTAAAAAGCCCCTTTGTCCGGTCCACCCTGCTCCCCTCCCCCACCGCGCCCTCCGCATCCAGGCGGCCCCAGACTTTGCTCCTTTTGTTTGGCTGCTTTCTGGCTTCCCGGAACCTGGCCAGGGGATCCACAGGCATGGGGAAGGTCGGAGGAGAGGGGTTGAGGAGTCGGAAATGTGCACTTTGGGTAGGAACTTGAAATTCCCACCCCTTTCGTAAATTACTCCATTTCTTGTAGGGCCAGTTCCGCTAAGGCCGAAGATCATGGGTTCAGGAGCTTGAACCCCCCAGTTCACCCGCGCTGCGTCCCCCTAAGTTTTCCCCCTTACCTGTCCCATGGAGCTCTGGCGCCGCCCGCCTGTCCCCGCGCCCCCCGTTCCTGCCTCGCAGTTTCAGGACCTGTTTGTCCAGGCCATCTCCTCTCTCCCCAAGTCTCCCCCCGGCCTTCCCTCCCGGGAGGTATTTCATTTAACTTCGGCATTTGCAGCATCCCAAATGTTAAAGATCCCAAGACATCTGTCCCCTGGGGCATACCAAGGCCCAGAGGAAAGAGGGGAAAGATGCAAGAAGGGATTCGAGATTCCGAGCCAAGAGTCGGGGCGGGGCCCCCGGTCGGGGTGGTAAGATGCCAGCAGGAATGGGTATCCTTGGGGGACCCCCATCCGAGGGGGCGAGGCTGCCCCCTTCTCCCGCTTTGGGACGCGGGCGTGGCGGGACACCCCCGGCGCTGCCAGTTTCCGCCGCCCGGGCGGGAGGAGGCTCCGCGCTCCGGCCGAGGGCCGCCTTTCATCCGCGCGCTCCGGCCCGCCCGGGGGCCGTTTCCATTCCTGGAGACCCCGGGGTGAAAGAATGAGAGAAGCCGGCCAGAGGGCGCCGCGCCGCTCCCTCGCAGGCCCCTGCCCCCCTCCTCGCCGGTCCCCTTCTCCCTCGCTGTGCACCGCGCTGGCTGCGGGGCCACCGCGTGCTGGCGCAGCGGGAATTGCCTCCCCCTCGTCCGGCCCCAGCCCAGTCGTCCCGCTGGGCGCCGACTGGCCGAACTCAGGCCGGGCTAGGAAAGGAGCCCACTCCTGGTGAGCGCCTCCTACTGTTGCCGCTGGCCTCGTGCCCCTCCAGCCAGACAGCCATTCACTCACTCTTCCCTGCTTTCGTCTGTGCAAGAGTCTTATTGAGCACCTACTAGTGCTCAGCACGGTGGATCACAGTTCAAATTCTTCCCCGGATGATTCCCCAATTAAGGCGAGTAATCAAGTAGCAATAGTATGAGTGAAGTAAGGGCTAGAACCCAGGACCGAGAGAGACAGAGACAGAGACAGAGAGGGGAGGAGAGGAAGAGGCTGGGCCAGACAGAGGGTCGCAAAGCGGGAGAAGGCAGTGCCAGGGGAATTTGGGAAGTTTAAGGAGGATCTTGAGGCAGCAATGACGGGATATACAAAAGCATAATGGCAAAGAAGCACAGTAGGTTCTAGGAGCTGCAGGGAACTTAAGAGTGTAGGATGAGGAGGAGGGAAAAGAATGAAAACAAAGACAAGGCTAAAGTGGCAGGCAGAGGCTCATCAGGAAGCAGGGCCGCTCTGTACGGTTGTCCAGGTTGTGTGCCATACTAAGAGGGAGGACTCACCCGTGTTCCACCCACCAAACTGCGTGCCTAGGTCATGCCTAGAGGCGGTGACTTTCTCTCATTCGTACAAAGGCACTATAGGAACTAAGGTGACTGAAGAGCTGTGTGGGCTAGCTAAGATTTAAGATTTTTATCCTGAAGCTGAAGAGAGGCTACTTGTATTAGTCAAGGTTCTCCAGAGAAACAGAATCAATAGGATATATATATGAGAGAGACAGAGATGGAGAAAGAGATTTATTTTAAGGAATTGTTTCATGCTATTGGAAATGCTGACAAGTCCAAAATCTGCAGGATGGCCGGACATGCTGAAGACCCAGAGAAGATTGCAGTTCGAGTCCAAAGGCACTCTGCTCACAGAATTCCTTCCTCATCAGAGGAGGTCAGTCTTTTTTCTATTAAGGCCTCCAACTGATTGGATGAGGCCCACCCATATCTTGGAGGATAATCTGTTTTACTCCGTGTCTACTGTTCCTTTAAATGTTAATCTCATTTAAAAATACCCTCACAGAGGGGCGCCAGGCTGGCTCAGTGGTGAAGTGTGCAACTCTTGATCTCGGCCTTGTGAGTTTGAACTCCATGTTGGGTGAAGAGACTACTTAAAAATAAAACCTTAAAAAAATTAAAATACCTTCACAGAAACATCTAGAATAATATTTGTCCAAATATCTGGGTACCACAGGCCTAGCCAAGTTGACACGTAAAAATCACACTACTGAAAACTGTCAATCCAGAACCTAGGCGGACTCACTTTTAGATCACTTTGAGGAATGAGCAAATGGAGTGGGGAGAGTTTAGAAACAGAGCTATTTAGGAGGTAGACCTTGCTTGACTTCACAGTTGACTGACTAAAGACATGGCAAGGAGGAATGGAGAAGAGTCGAGGGGTTCCCAGGTTTCTAGCTTGAGGGTTCAGCGTAAGATGTGTTCACCTGAGGACACTGAAGGTAATGTCCAGTGAGCAGCCTGGCGGGGGGGGTGGGGGGGCTCTAAAGCACAAGGAAGGTTGGAGAAAGAGGCTTGGGAGCCACTAGAGAGCTGCAGCTCTGGGAGTGGGTGAAATCACCCAGGAAGGGTATGTAAATGAGAAAAGGATGGGGGGTTGGGGGAGGGATGGTGGAATTCTGGGAACATTTAAGGGTTAGACAGAGGGTAAAGTGCCTTTGAAGGTAAGCATTATCATATTACTCATGCAATGGGACAGCTTGTTGAAACATTGATTTGTATTCCTTCTCCCTTCCCATTCACCCCTCCCTTTTCTCTGGGAGGAAAGCAGGAGCTCCCTGAAGGCCTTAGCCCCAAGGCTCCTGAGACAATGACAGGGGTCCTGAGGTTCAAGGGCAGAGAAGTGGCTTTTGGAGGCCAGGAAAAAGAAGTGTGACGACCTGGGAATGTGAAGGAAAATAGTGTGTGTCCTGAGCAGCCAGAACCCTGAACACTAGTTCATGCAGTGCCATGGGGTGGTAGTGAGACCTCAGCAGTGCTGGGAGGTGGGATGCCCAGGCCCAAGTTTCTAACCTCAACATATCCGTGCACCACACACACATATGCAGGAAGCAGGAGTCCAGGCTACAAGAGACCCCTGGGGGCTAGAGCAGCTAGATACCAGCCCTTACCCTGCTCTCTGGTGCTCCCCTAAACCTTCAGGATATGCTTGAGAAAATAGCAGTTTTTGCCATTCCAGTAGGCCCAGAACAGAATCAAATTGATTTATGAACCTTGCCTTGGCATGTGTGGTGGGAGCGGGGGAGACGCACAGAAGCGCATGGTGGAGACTATGGCAAATTCCAACACTGAGGCTGGCTCCAGGCAGCTGGCACTGCAAATGTCACAAGAAAGGGGCTTCTATTTTAAAGACAAAAGCTGGAAATCCAAATGTTTATGTGAAATCTTCTGATATGTACGCATTTGATTCCTTTATTAAAAATGCAAAAGGAGTCAAGCAAAATGCATCTGCCCTTCTTAGGCTATAGCTTGAGTTGCTGCCACACGGCTCTGAGCACAGAGCCTAGGACTGGTTTGAGCGGGGTCTGAAGAAGCCAGGGCTGGGGAAGCAGGTGTTCTGGAAGCAGAAACCAGAGCCCTCGCAGGGAACTGACTAGCTCAGACTGTGGAAGGAGGGAGAGGGGTGCTCATTGGGAGAGACCACCAAGCGCCCAACAGGTTTCTGTCCTTCTCACTTTCTTCTCCATCAGATGGTTAGTCCTGGGAAATGGCGGGGGGTGGGGGTGGGGTTCTTGGGAAGAGCTTTCTGAGTCCTTGCCAGAGGGGAGAAGGGGGAAAAGCTGGGAACTCCATAGTTTAGCTTCTGAAAGCCTCATGGCGGCTGGGCAGCTGCCTCTGAGCTGGGAACAGCACTCCCCCACACACTGCAGGGAGGGGGGCACCCCAGAGCTCTCCCTGCCCATGGTCCTGCTGACTCAGGTGTCCTCAGGCCCTTGGGCCTAGCAGAGTATGAGGCTCACCTTGCCCACCCTCCCCTCCTCATCCCCCTCCCTCCATGGGCTGGGTGAAGAGAATGAGTCGGTTCTCAGTGGCCCAGACAGTGCCCTGTCGATGCCCTCAGCAAGAAGTATTTTGGAAACCCCAGAATGACTCGGAGCCTGAGGCCCTGTTTCCTCTCCTGACCGCATCCTGCAGCTCGCAGCTGGGGGCAGGGGCAGGAAGGGGGCACTGCCCGTTGGCATCTGGCTCTGTGGGCCAGAACCCTCTGGACGGGGCGCAGGCTGGCTGCAGGCAGGTGAGTAGCTACGGGAAATGCATATGACCACCTTAGGGGGCCAAGCCAGGGGGTTTCACTCAACTCCTTCAAGGAAAGAGCAACTGGGACCAAGACATTGAGTTTAGAGAGTGGCTTGGAATGCAGGGCAGACTCATCAGTGGGGCTCAGACTCCTGAGCTGCATGAGATGGAAAAGGAGCCCACTTCCCCAAGACACACCAGCATCCTCCAAGCCAGCAATTCTCAGCTGGTTTCTGAATGCCACCAGAGCCTCGCCACAGTGCTTAGAGTCCTGCCCCTTACCCTCCCTCCCTTCTCTCTCTTGCCTCTCATTTTTCCTTCACCTCCTCTCATTCTTCCCACCCCTTCCTCTCCACCTCCTCCATCCTAGCCACCAGGGTTCCCTAGGATTCCAGGGCCCACGGGACTGTGTCTGAGCACCTCCTGTCCAGAGCACTGGCCCCTGAGACGCCATCCTCCCCTCTTCCCCTACTGCCCAAGCCTCAGTTGTAGCTTGCTCTCCCTGGTGGGACCACCAGGGGGCGAGAGTTGACCGCTCTTGGATCTGGACCGATGATGTTCTCAGGTCTTTCTTCCCTGTGCCTTGGAGGAAAAAAATCCTGAGAGTGAAAGTGATGGAAGATGGAGTGGAGTTGTCCTAGGCTCTAATCTAGCCTGAGACTTCCTTGCTTCCTATAGCTCTGCTGGTGGAAGACGTGGACCGTTCCTCTCCCGAGTGCGGAACCGGCCCTTCCTCACTGCAAGGCCCCAGCCCCAGCCTCCCTTCCCTCACTCTGGGATCACTGCCCGGCATGCCCTCAGGCCCTGGTCTCCAGCCATCCTCTCTTCTGTTTCTAGAGACCCACAGAATTTGAAACTTTAAAAACATTTTTTTTGAAGATCATTTATTTGAGAGAGAGAACAAGAGAGCTAGTGGGGGGAGGGGAAGGGGCAGAAGGAGAGGGAGAAGCAGACTCCCCACCAAGCAGGGAGCCAAATGCGGGGCTCGATCCCAGGACCCTAGAATCATGACCTGAGCCAAAGGCAGCTGCTTAACCAACTAAGCCACCCAGGTACGCCAAGAATTTTGAAACTTTAAGAAAAGATAGTGAATTATGTTAAAAGCAATACAACTACAAAGATAAAAAGCTACATACCAGAGCAGAGAAAGCAGTGGTTGTTGTGGGGCTTTCAAATATGGCAGAGACCAGCCCCTCGACAGATAGGACATGTGGGTCCTGAGGGCGCCTCTACTCCCAGCTCTCCTCCCCCCGCCCTTCCAGTGCCCACAAAGAAAGCCCCTATCTGCTTGAAGTCAGATCGCACGTAGTGAGACTTCGTCAGCCTGGTCTCCGCAGCATTTCTGCACTGGCAGGCTTATGCATGGTGGAGAAGTCCCAGGCCCCTGGGAGCAGACCCCTGGCCCCCAAGTCCCTGCCTGAGCTGCACCTCAAGTCAGGAGTTCCAGCAGCTAGCAGGGGCGGTGGTGGGAAAGGTGGAGGGCGAAGGTGGGGGTGTCTCCTGCTCTGATCAGCACTGGGTTATTAGAAATCCGATAACCCGTTGCTTTTCTCAAAGGCCTGGAGATAGAGGTGCCCTCCAAAGTAGCGCCTGACCTACTTGGGGCCTTTTTCTCACTTTACCTGGCAGGTGGTTATTGAGCAGCTCAGGGACAAAATTTAGGAGAGATGTAAAAAGTATGTGTTTTGGACTCAAGACAAATTAGCCTTGGGTTCTTCATCTGTAAAATGGGGATGGGGACCCCCTGGTGTGGCTGTGGGTTGGATAGTGAAATCATGTAAGCTGGTTTTTAGCATTATGTAATTATCGAGTAATCTCTCCACCCAAAGTGGGCCTCCAACTCATGGCCCTGAGATCAAGAGTCACATGTTCCACGGATTGAGCCAGCCAGGCGCCTGGGAAAGGTAGTGATTTTTATTATTTTTATTTATTTATTTTTTTAATTTTATTTATTTATTTGCCAGAGAGAGAGCACAAGTAGGCAGAGGGAGAAGCAGTTCTCCCTGCCGAGCGGGGAGCCCAGTGCGGGGCTCGATCCCAGGACCCTGGGTTCATGACCTGAGCCGAAGGCAGATGCTTAACTGACTGAGCTACCCAGTCGTCCTAGTAGCGATTTTTTTAAAAGATGTTTTTTTCCACATTCCGAATCTTAAAAGAAAAATAAGTTCTTCTTCCTTACACCCAACTCTCAGGAAAGAAAAAAAAAAAAACAAAAGAAGCTTCTGCATGATAATTATGACTTCAGTGGTCCAAACCTGTTTGCTGGTGACCAAGTTTCACTTCCTGTGGTTTAGCAGCTCAAAGCTTCAAAAGGCCACCCTCCTCCCGTGACCAGCCCTGGGCCTGGGGCCTTGGCATGGATTAACTAGAAACAAATTCATACCTCACACTTCTGTCTCCTCTTAAAATACTCAGTGTGATGAGAAAGGAAGAGGAAGGAGAATGGTTTACCTTGAGGTAGGATGCTCTTGAAATCAATTGAAATGGTCCATAAACCCAGCTGTGTGACCTCTTCACACCTCCCACCCCAAAGCTCTTGTCCCAACCCCCTCTGTGACTGGTCAGTGCATTTCCATCTATTTGTTTATAATTCATGCACTAAAGAGTTCTAGGCGCTTTGATAGCTCTGTGGGGGTGGGGCAGAGAGAGGGGGCTTAGTGGTTGGAGTCAGTTCTGTGGAAGAGCTGAAAGGCACCACGCACGGTCTGATGGAGGAGCTTGAAGCAAAGTTTAGCTGGGTGTTCGTGATGGGCAAAAGCCCCCTAAGCTGAAACCAGGGAGGAGAAGCCGCTGAGTTTGTCCAAGAAACTTCAAATATGTCTTGGATGCTGGAAAGTGGGTGATGTCTACTTTCTATCCTTGCCCATTGCTAAGAGCTGGGATTCCAGCAAGCACAACTAAGCAATTGAAAAGCAATCTCTGTACATGCAAATGCCAACAGTGATTACTTCTGGGGAGGGGGCTGGCCCAGGGACTGGGGGACGAAGGGGAGTTGAGTTTTATTTATCATTTCTGTGTGGACTTTTTGCTGCGAAAATGTATTCTTTATTCATATGCCATTTCTGCAATTTAAAATTAATGGTTAAAATTGATAGTCTAAAACTTGTTATTATGAATACTTTCCAAGATAAATAAAAAGAGAGAGTCTAGTATAATGAACTCTTATTGATCCATCACCTAGATTTAGTGATTTTCAACATTTCCCTTTATTTCCTTAGTTTATCTTTTCTTTAGCAAAATATTTTAAAGAAAGTCCGAGACGTGGCCATGCACCACTTCTAAATGTTTCAGAGCACATCTCTGAAAAAAAACTGGACACTTTTCTTACAGAATCATATGATCATTATCACAATAGCCCCTCAATATTGCCTAATACCAAGTCACATTCAAAGTTCCCCAGTTGTCCCAACACTGTCTTTTAAAGCTGGTCTGTGTTTATCTGGATCCAAGTAAGGTCTACACATTAAATTTGGCTTTTTTCTTGTGTGGGTCCCCTTTCCCCACCCCAGAAATTTTTTTTATCATGTCAGTGACTTGTTGAAATCAGGTCAGTTGTCTCATGAAATGACCTACATTCTGTGTTTTATCTGCTTGCCTCCTCGCGTGGTCATTGAACTTGCTCCTGACCCCTATATTTGTCACATTGTGTTTTCTCCCTTCTCACTGGGAACTGGTCCCTGAGACGATATGTGAGCATCTTGTAATGGTCCAGCTCTCACCTCGTGGCTTTAGTACCCACCAGTGATCTTTGCCTGAATCAATTATTTTCTTGGAGGTTGTGAAAGGTGATTTTCTGTTTCTATTTAAAATATTTTTTTTTCTTAAAAAGCAGTAAACTTCATATGGTGTGGGCAATCGCCTTCTTATTGACCTACCTTCCAAATTCAGGTTATGATATAAGAAAACCCCCAAAAGATGTCCCTGTTGATTGATTATATTTTAAAATAACTTCCCTGTTCTGAGCGGGCTCTGCTCAGGAGTCTTTCAAGACTTTAACTGCTGAGAGTCCCCAGACCCTGTATGTGTGGATCTCTCTTGGTACCAGACCACAGAGAAACAGATTCTTAAGTGTCAAAAAGTGTTTAAGTGGGCTGAGAAATGAATTTTACTTTCTGACTTGCTGTTGCTTGTTTTTCTTGCCTTGTTTGCGGTAGCGGATGGCACAGTTGATTGTTGCCTTTGCGTGTGTGTGGATCGTGTTGCCGTGATTGTTTGATTTTTAATGGATGGATTTGTGCTTCCAGCCTTTTGGTGGGTGCATTTTATAATATTTAAAATATTTTTTAAAAACAATACATGAGATAAGTCTCTGGAGAATAGATTGGGCCTGTAATCATGGGACTGTGGACCAGAGAGGTCCCCTCACCCCACCTCCCCCCCCAGCGCTGGGCCCTTGTCCGCAGCAGCCTGACCACCCTGACCACCCACTGCTGGTGTCTCAGCAGAGCTGCTGTGTGTGGAAGGCTGCCAGCCCCGCTCGTGTCAGGGAATGCTCTGGGCTCTGCAAGGCAGTCCCCGCCCTGAAAGACAGAATGACCAGGGTCTACTCACAGGCTTTCACGCCAGGGACACTGTGATCAACCAATTCTCTGGAAATCAACGATTACAAAAGTGATTTATTCGCACAGTACAGAATTCTTTGCATAATTTGCAGTTTCAAAAAAGAGGAAAAGAAAAATAACATTTTACTCAAAATTAAAGTTCTGCAAGGATTTTATTTCTTTTATGTGCATAAGCCTACACTTTCTGTCTTGTGTGTGTGTGTGGGATGGAAACTCAAGTCATCAGTGGTTGTTTTTCGGAGGAGCTGGGAATTTCTTTCATTTCTGTAGCCCCACGGCCTTGCTGACTAACTGACACATAGCAGATGCAAAATAAAAATGTGTTGAATCAATGAATTTGAGAATAGAAATCCAAAGCCAGGGTATAATTCAATTCCACTTGAGGAATAGTTTGTGCTGTTTATTTTACTCCCAACGATTATAGCAAACATTGAAT